CCCGACCCCACCAGCCCCCTCGCCTAGCCCCACGCCCCCACCCCCCCACGCCTCCTGCCCGGTGCCCCCTCCACTCCCGACCCTCGCCAGCCCCCCCCAGCCCCTGCCCCCCCCACGCTCTGCCGGTGCCCCTCACTCCCGACCCGCAGCCCCCTGCCAGCCCAGCCCTGCGCCCCCCAGCCCTGCCGGTGCCCCTTTTCGCCCCATGGGGGGAGCTAGTCCATAGGGAGCTCCCCTTCCCACAGACCCATCCCTGGGAGGGGTGACGCGTCTCCCCCGTTTGCCCTCCCCAGACAGCTGCCAGCAGCTGGAAGGTGGCCTGGAGCCAGAGCCCCTGGCCGGGGCCGGCGCCGACGACCCGGACGACTCGCAGCTCCGGCTGCAGCTGAAACGCAAACTGCAAAGGAACCGAACGTCCTTCAGCCAGGAGCAGATCGAGGCCCTGGAGAAAGGTGAGGGAGACATGGGGGGGCTGAGCCGCACTCTGGGGTGTCACGGGCCAGGGGCCCGGTGCTTCCGCCTGGCCTGGCCCAGCGCCCGGGGGGGGGGGTGACCTGCAGCCCGGCCGCCCCCTGGGGGTCGCTCTCACTGGGGTGAGCCCCACGACTTCCCGCCCCCTGGGACCTCGGAGCCTGCAACCCCCCTCCGGGGGTCAGGCCGGGAGCCCCCCGCAGCGAGTGCCCCGGGATGGGCCCCGGGGGCAGACGGACCCCCCCCCAGAGGGAGCCAGGCCCCCCAGCTCCGGGCTCGGGTGTGACTCGGCTGGGGGGAGGAGCGTGGGGGGGGAGTTGGGGGTCTGGGCGCAGTGCGGAGAGTCCTGGGTTAGCGCCGAGAACAGAAATTACAGCCAAGACCGGCTCGGTCGGGCCCAAGCCCAGAGCCCCCCCCCCCCGACCCCTTAGTGCCGGTGCCCCCAGCTGCCCCACACGGAGCAACCGCCCCCCCGACCCCTCCCAACACTTTGTCCTGCAGCTGGTCGCACCCGGCCGGCTCCCTGCCCAGGGGGCGCCCACGGGCGTTAGCTGCTGGGTGCCAGCGGGCCAGGCAGTGGGCGAGGCCATTGTCTTCTGGGCCCCTCCCTGGGCATGGGTGGGGCCTGGCCCCAGCCAGGCGGCGTGGGTCACACCTGGGTTTGTGCAGCGAGCAAACAGCCTCTTCCCCCGCCCCCATTGACCACGCGGCATGTGGGGAAACTGAGGCAGGCAAAGTCGAGTCTGACAAAATATTCTGAACAAATCCCACTTTGTCACACGTGGGTGTATCCGGGGGGAGGCAGAGACGTGGGGGGACGTGGCATACCCAGGTGTCCCGGAGTCCCAGGCTCGGTGCTCGGGAACCGCTCGGCGCGAAGCTGGGCAGGACCCGGGGGCAGCGTCTCCCCTCAGGGCGCCCTCCCGCCAGGGCCAGGAGCCTGCCCGGCTTCGGTGTCTCCTGGGTCCAACTGCGGCGCGTTCAGCCCCCCCGTGAGCCCACCCGGCTGGGACCCCTGGGGCAGCTTCCCCGACCCCCAAAGGGCCCTGCCCCCCCACCCTGCAGCCAGCCGGGACTCCCAGCCCGCGGGTAACACAGCAGGGCAGAGCTGGGGAGCACAACAGACAGCAAAGTCCATCTTGGGGGGGCCCCAGAGCCTGGAGCCCTGGACTCCTCCCCCCCCACACCCCCTCCCCCAAGTCCCAAACCAGGAGAGTGACCCCTTCCCGCAGCCCAGCCCCGGACCCGCCCGCTGCCCCTCCTCCGTCCTTTGTCCCTTTCCCGGGCCAGCACCGACACCTCCGGGCCGGCTCCCTGCAGAGGACGGGCCCCGGGGCCCCAGTTGCCAGGCGGGCCGGTCTCTGTGCCCAGGCAGCCTGGCGGCGGGATCCCACTTACCCTCTCGGGGTCACTGCAGCGCTCACCCCCCCTTTATCCCACTGTCACCAAGCCGGGGGGAGTCGGGCCCTGCACCCCCACTTCCTGCGATGCACCGGGACTCCGCCGGCCGGGAACACAGACGGTTTATTAGCCGACAGGAGCAGCCCAAACCAGAGCTTGTGGGTACAGAGACCAGGACCCCTCAGTCCGGTACCTCTTGGGGGGTGGGGAGCCCAGACCCCGGTTCTGGGCCTCCCCTTCCCAAGCTCCAAACTGAAAACCCCCCAGCCCCTCCTCTGGCCTTTGTCTTTCCCGGGCCAGGGTCACCTGATCTCTTTGTTCTACAACACCTTCAGTTGGCACCTTGCAGGGGGGGTCCAGGCCATCAGTTACCAGGAGACAGGGTGTCGATCTCACCCCCTTATCCCCCCCCCCCACGATACTTGAGAACTGCATAGGGGAATCTGAGGCACCCACCCAGTATTCAGAGAAAATATTATGAAGTTTCCCACTTTGGGGATACCGGAGAGGCGGGGGGACCACAGTGCCCCAGGCGTATCTGGGGGGGGGGGGGAACGGGGGGGGGAGCGCCACCCCTTCTCTG